CACGTGTGGCAACGCCGTGCTCAACATCTACTCCAATCGCTAGCCAGGTTAGATCAGACAATTCCGATATATTGGCAATCATCAAATACAACTTCTGATCTTCTCGATTCTGTCTTTTGATTTCTCTTGGTGGGTACGAGTTATATTAGAAGATGTTACTGGTAAAAGAATTGTCAAACACTGAATACCTGTGCCATCTTCATTGGTGAGCCTAACGTGATCTGGTACACCAAATCGCAAACTGTGAGTCTGTTCCATTTTGTGATTCTATATATCATTGCTTTATTTTAATTTTTTATAGACTGTGATATTTTTCCAGCGTTTTTGGATATCTATATATTTTTCACTCGTGTATTCTCGTACTTAATTTTTCCCTATGACTGAACAGACCCCAAGGTATTTAAGATTACGACAATGTCCCCACCCTCGTTCCAACTCATGCCCTTCTGGCTCGACAATATCGAAGCCTCTATCTGCTACGCAGAAGCCGACTTCTCCGAGCACGGCGTGAACGACACACGTGCACAATTCCTCGCAGTAGTCAAGGCACTACCGCGCGAATTCAACAGGTACGTAACACCTAGTATGTTTACTAGTGATGTTTCTGAACCGTACGAAACCTTAAAGCGTTCTATTCTTAAACGAGGAGACCTAACCGATCGACAAAGGTTAGATCAACTCTTTTATAACATAGACCTGCAACACGGTTCTGCGACGGACATGTTGCAAAGGATGAGAGAGGTTATAGGCCTAAGAACTTTCGACGAAGGCCTATTCAAACAACTTTTCTTGTCCAAACTTCCCCAACAGGTGCAAGCAGTTCTGGTCTCGTTTCAGAACAACGCCTTAGACGAGCTGGCTGCATCTGCCGACCGTATCTCAGAAATTACGAAATCTTCTACTACCGAGGTTTTTCAGTCAAAGAAAAGCCTCACACGACTCAGAATGACATAACCGAGTTATGTCATACACTCACGCATTATCTTAATTTTCGTAACGACCGTAAGCGATCGCACACCCCACGTAGAAGCATTTCGCGTAAGCGATCTGTCTCTAGACCACGAGAGACAGATAACCCCGACTGGTGCTGGTATCATAACCAGTATGGAAAGTTTTCCAGAAATTGCAGAAAACCCTGCAATTTTCCCAACTCAAAACCGACTGACTCGAAAAACAACTCGGGAAACTTCCAAGCCGGCACGCGTTAACGGCAACCGTAGCCGGCGAAAATAGCCGTCTGTTATACGTCACAGATGTGACAACGAGAGTTCGCTACCTCGTCGACACTGGCGCAGAAGTTAGCGTTCTCCCAGCAAATCCTAACGACCGACTTCACGAATCGACTCTAAACTTACAGGCGGCAAACGGAAAACCGATCGCTACGTATGGCAAAAGGTACGTTTACCTTAACGTGGGTTTACGCAAACCCATCCACTGGATTTTCGTTGTTGCAGATGTTTCTATGCCAATCATTGGTATGGACCTTCTACAACACCACAATCTGATCATCGACACTCGCAAACGGAGGCTAGTAGACGGAAACACTAATTTGTCCGTTTGCGTAACTTCTTTTACTGGTTGTAGAGTATCCCCAGTCACAGTTAAGCATATGATAGACCCACTCTATCAACCACTACTCGATAAGTACCCTGGGATACAACAAACGCAACGAAACTACCGTGTGTAACCAGCAATGTTACACATCACATCACGACTACAGGACCACCTGTATTCTAAAGCACGACGACTAGCTCCTGAAAAGCTAAGGTTAGCGAAAAACGAATTCGATCACATGATGGACTTAGGAATCATACGACCGTCAAGTAGCCCATATGCATCTCCGTTGCACATGGTCCCTAAAAAGGACAGCAACGATTGGCGTCCAACTGGTGACTATCGGCGATTGAACGCGAAAACCATTCCCGATCGTTACCCGTTGCCTCACATTCACGATTTGACAGCTACCTTGAAAGGTACAACTGTCTTTTCGAAAATCGACTTGGTTAAAGCGTATAACCAAATCCCTATGGCTACTGACGACATACCGAAAACAGCTATCATAACTCCCTTCGGACTCTATGAATTTTTGCGAATGCCTTTCGGTCTAAGGAACGCTGCTCAAACATTCCAAAGATTCATAGACGACGTTTTTCGAGGTCTCAACTTCGTACACGCGTATGTTGACGACTGTCTAATCGCAAGTCCGGACAGAGAAACACATCTCAAGCATCTGGATCTTGTTTTCGAACGATTACAAAAACATGGCATTACTGTAAACGTTCAGAAATGCCAAATCGGAACCGACTCATTAGACTTCCTAGGACACACTATCGATGCTCAAGGTATTCGACCCCTTAGGACCAAAGTGGCGGCCATTCTGGATTACCCAGAACCGACCACCGTCAAGCAATTACGCACGTTTAACGGCCTTGTAAGTTTCTATAGACGATTCATACCGAAATGCGCATTACACATGAAACCTCTGACCGACCAACTTCGTGGAAATGCGAAATCCATTAATTTGGACGACACCGCACGAAAAGCATTCTCCACAATTAAGGAACTGATCGCTAAAGCAACAATGCTTGCACATCAGGACACCCAAGCACCCATTAGTATCGCAGTAGACGCATCCGACTCAGCAATCGGAGGAGTCTTACAACAATGGGTTAACAACTCCTGGCAACCCTTGGCATTTTTCTCTAGAAGGTTGCTAGACACCGAATCGAGGTACAGCACATTCGGTAGGGAACTCCTAGCTATGTATTGTGCTGTACGGCATTTCCAACACTACATCGAAGGTCGTGAATTCACTCTTTTCACTGACCATAAACCTCTCACTTTCTCGTTAAGCTCCTCTTCAGACAAGTACTCTCCTCGTGAGTCTCGACAACTGGACTACATTTCGCAGTTTACTTCAGATATTCAACACATCTCTGGAGCAAACAATGTAGTTGCAGACGCCTTCTCTCGCATAACTTCCCTGAACAGTTTCCAAGGAATCGACCTTATTAAACTCGCCCAGCTTTTAAAAGGAGACAGTGATCTTCAGCACGAGTTATCGTCTACAACTTTCAAGCTATGCATCATACAGATGAGAACAGGTAAGGAAACCTTACTTTGTGACACATCTACAGATAGGGATCGCTCAATCGTGCCGAAACATTATCGACGCAATGTCTTCAATACATTGCACAAACTTTCTCATCCAGGTGTTCGTGCAACCATCAAGCTTATAGCAGAACGATTTTGCTGGCCTGGTATGAATAAAGACGTGAGGGAGTGGGCACGCTCCTGTGTAAGCTGCCAGAAATCTAAGGTGAATAGACAAATGTCCCTCAGGCTCATTTAAAACTCCCGACGTTCGTTTTGACCATGTTCATCTGGGTTTGGTAGGATCCTTACCAGATTCGAATGGATACTCTTATCACTTAACCTGCGTAGACCGTTTCACACGATGGCCAGAAGCAGTTCCTACCAAGGACATTACTGCTGAAACAGTGGCCTGCGCCACCGTCGAACGATGGGTAGCGAACTTCGGCTGCCCTTCAACCATCGCTACAGGTCGCAGGCGCCAGTTAGAATCTGGACGTTTCCGTTGTCTGACTACACTATTGGGAATCACTCGCTTCCGAGCAACCGCCTACCACCCACAAGCAAACGGGTTGGTAGAACGTTTTCACCGACAACCAAAAGCCTCAATATCAGCTGCAAACGTTTCACAGTGGACCGACGCTCTTCCACTCGTCTTACGCAGTATTCGCAATGCAGTGAAAGCTGACATTGGATACACTGCGGCTCAACTCGTTTATGAAACGACACTTCGACTTCCAGGAGAATTCGTGGATCCTTCATCCACTTCAATGAACATGGATCTAACCTCCTACACGAACAGGCTTACAAACGCAATGCGTTCAGTTAAAACTGCTTCCACTCGACCTCAATCAACTGATGTTTTCGTTCAACCTGACTTACGATATAGTACACACGTTTTCGTTCGTCGAGACTCGCATCGACGACCATTCGAATCAGCATACGAAGGACCCTTCAAAGTTCTTCAACGTGAATCTAAGTACTATATAGTCGATAAGAACGGAACCAACGATAGCATCAGCATCGATCGCCTCAAAGCAGCGTATTTAGAAGGAAATCCTATCTACGTCGATTTTCCTTCGGTACAATCGAACGACATGACTCCGACACTCATAATACCTAATCCGACAGCGAACACGCGCGATGATACTTCAAACACTGAATACCTGTGCCATCTTTAATATTACTGCCTAATGCTCACGCAAGCGAAGAGGAACTCATAAGGATTGTAAAGGTGTAGACTAAAACTCAGACTCAATAAGTTTTAAGACAACAAGCTATACAATTGTATACTTTTCCAAACGTCAGACTAGTTTGCAAGGCCAGTGAGCAGAATTATTAAACATTAGAAACCGATCTCGACTACGGTAGGATGAGAATTCACATCAATGAACCTTGGAAGTGTGAGTCATATACTAGTGCGTTATAACAGAAATAAGGTAGGAATAACCAAGAAGTGGAGTAAGATAACACCTTTAGGAAAACTTCAGTATCCAGGGGGTGGAAAGTCTGGTGCGACAGAAAGTCTTGCAACCTAATAATAAATCAATTAAAGTCTTCCACCAATTTTTCTGACAGCTCTTTCATGTTATATACTAGAAACTACTCTTCCCATGTTACAATCTGATTACCGTTAGCAAAACCGACTGACCGGTGAATTTACAGTCTTTGGCTTCTGCAACCTTACTGTTTAGGGAGAAATAGGCTAATCTAGCTTTAAAGTATGCCAACCAACAAATAACTTGAGCTTCGTTAGTGCTCTTGCTAGACTAACCTCCTGTACTCCGTGAGTGACTTGGGAACTGCTATATCAAAACGAGAAGTGAATAAAAAATAAAATAGTTTATAATAGTTCAACACATAGACACCAAATAGTATCGTTCTAAAGACATTGGATGTAGTATAATCGTTGATGATTTTTGTACAGTTGCGCTACAAATCAAGTTCTCTCTAAGGTCAGTGGAATAACTGCACAAATCCAAATAACGTGTTTCCGTATCATATCATGCTCCTCAACTATAGAATTGTTTTTGTCGGTTCATATATAAGAGCGAATTGTCATGTCGAATTCTCATAACTTTGCCCGAATTTGAACTGCTTGCTGGTAATATAACCAAAGGTACTTAACATAATATCCATTCCTAACCATGTATTGGGTACTGTTTTTATACCCATTTCCTTAACGTTGCTAGGTCAACCCTCTTTCAAACTTTATTTCATTGTTGCCGTCATCAAGCCTCTGTATATATTTGAAGAGTATCACTTATGGTTCATCTACTTTTGTCCTTGAATACGTTTCTGAACTCAGTATTATATTGTAAAGCCCAAAGTTCATTTCCCTTAATCCCATGTACTCATAATGCCAGATTAATAGAGCTAAGTACCTTTTATCATACTCTGAATCATTTCAATAATTGGACGCGCTATGAGTCATTGGAATTCATGTGCAAATCAGATTAATCCGATGAAGGTTTATTTAGGGGTAATGGTTGTTGCCTAAGAAGATCCTTTTATTGTTATGAATGAGCATCCTCATGTTTTTGATTCTTTTTTGTCAACTGCTGGCCCTAGTTAAGTAGACTGCGGCTATCACCGTAAAACTTATGACGCAGTTAATCGACAGTTAATTTCGTCATCTATAACCTTAACAAAGGTAGTAGCGTGCTATGAGTTATTAAAACAATTGTTTTAATAACTTATAATATGCTACTACCAGTTTATAAGCTTAAGCTTGTAAACTTCAACATTTCATTTAGACTGATAAAACTATAGGAGTTTATCAGAATTAAGCAAATAGGACGTTGGTTGTGTATACCCAGGCTATGTACGCAATAATGATGAGTAGGTGTGAATAACGACAAGCAGGAGCAATCGATTGGTCTTAAAGGTTAGATGCTTATGATGTCTAAGGGTTATCAAAGTTATTCGAAAAACAGATAGTTGACCTCTATAAGTTGTTCACTAATGGTTATGCGATATCACTGGTTTCTAAAGCATTCTCTGTTGATTATCATGCAGTTTTCATTCAAGTTTATTGTCATACTTTATTTTCAGTGCTAACCCGTTATGTGGTGGCAGTTTTACATTAATCAAAATGCTGACGTTTTAGATAAAATACGGGTCGTATGTAGTTTTTTTTTCAAAGTGGTCCTGATTTCTAATCACATAAATGTACAATGAAAGTCCAAGGTTTTGTTACTGAACGCAGATTTCAGTCACTGGGTTGCTTCGAATTCTAATATACATATTTCACTACAAAAAATTGTCTAATATCGTTATCTCCCACACAGAAATGTTGTGGCTCAAAGCCAATAACATAAAGCTGTACCCCTATAATAAATAATATAAATTTCTCTGATGAAATTTCCGTTCACATCTGCAGTGTTTTAAATATCCAATTCCCTTAATGTACCCAGTGTACAACATAGAAAACCATTAAATATGTTAAACAATAATTCGTAAATTCTGCTATCTGTATTAGCCACTAATAAAGTGATACTAAGTGGATAGTAGGCTATTGTGTAATCAAATTGTTCCATTAAAACCACTGATAGATGTATGTGCAACTTAGTCGCGTATTCTGATTGAAATAAAACTGTGCCTCAGAGAACCATAAGAAGACTACACCACTACGTTCATAAATCCTCAGCTAGTTTTCTGAAATACACAAAAAATAGTGTTCACTAAATTAGGGTTACTGTTCCAATATATATGTTTATAAAGGCAATGAATGACAACTTAAAACCACCAGTGCCGTTTTATATATCTTATAGCCTATTTTCCTTTTTATGCACTTTCTTGCTAAGAAAATGAACGACTTAAATCAGTTAACACTGGTGACTGTAGTCATCTTTTTATGTACTGTTCTAGTCGGAAGCACTTCATAGTCTTTAGTGTTTTGTTTTGACTTGTGCTCTTTTATCACTCGCAATAATTTAGGCAAGCTAGTAATCTCAGACGTTTCCACCCACACAAACTACATCGTAACTTAAAGTAAAGCGGTTTATTTTTTAAAAATTTATTTTAACACATAGATATTGGTACAAGGAGGCACCAAATACATATGCGCCACACAAATCTCATTCAATATGTGTGAGGGCTGTGATACTGCCCGGGTGCCCAAACCGAAGCAGGTGGTTTTCTTAGGGGGTCACTCCCCGAGCCTTCGACCTGAAGGTCTGTGTAAAATGTGATCGGTAGACGAACTCACCAATAATAAAGGGAAACGCCCACCACCACATTAACTCCCTTTAAACTTGTACTACTGTATCTCTTTATTAACCATCACAGTTTGATGTTCATTGTAAAACAATATTTGCTTGTTGACTCATTTTTCCTATTCTCTGGCTGCTGTTCGGTATGTTATTTGTCTGTTTTTCCCCGTATTAATAGACCGTACAGTTTGTTTGTACACTAACGATGTTAATTTATGTTTTAGAAACAGATAAAGTTTATCTAGCCAAATAGCTTGCTTGTTCTGACTTTGGCCGAACCAAGACTCTTTATTCGACGGTCTAGAGAATAGCTCAGAATTAAACCTGTAGGAAATTGCTCCCTACAGTCTGATCCACAAGGCAGTGGAGCATCGTAAGGGGATGCAGTCCCATGGAAGCCGATGACCAACAATTGGTTCATACGCCATTTGTCCCCGCAGGATACTGGAGCCCATGTGCACCATTGGTTTGGAATCCGGTTAAAGCGCCGGATATTCGGTTTTCGTCCTCTCATATTCGTAAACTGCACCCCCGCCACGAGAAGGCAGTGAGTAGGACTTCCCTGGCAGAGGCTATATACGCGTAGCCATGTGAGAGCATTTGGAGAGGGAGAGCGGACTCTCCCCATTCTCGGCCGTACCAGGGCACTTGGGGGCAAAGTAAAGCGGTACTACAGTCGACAAATAATTCGTAGCAGTTTTATGTAGAGCTTAATAATTAATAGTGAATTCTCAACCGTGCTTTTATTGTTCGTAATTGGTCACATAGCAAAACACTTATGTCCAATGGCATCTTCACGTTGTCCATCTGATACTGTAAGTGTCCACATTTCTATCCGAGAAAGATCAGTAATTATCAGTATACGGTTGTGTAGAATGTTGACTTTCAATTGAGATCATGAACCTATCAATGTTAAACCTCCATTGAAAAACTGGAGGCATTGGACGGCCGTTTTGTCCTAGTATAAGACGTGGATTGGTTAGTTAGACACTAACATCGTTAGGTGCCGGCCCAATAATTTAAAGTTTAAGTGTTAACGCGAGACCGAAGATCCTGAATTCGAGACCGCGTGTTGGACTTGGGGTGCGCGTTGCTGAGGGGTCCCACACTAGGACGAAACAGCGGTCCAGCATTCTCAGGTTTTCAATGGTGGTCTAACATTCGTCGGTTCATGATCTCAATTAAAAATACCTTAATAATGACGATTTTGCAAGTCGAAAGTTTTAAGTAGTATAGTGATAAAGAGTAGTTTGTTTATAATTCTTTCTAAAGTTTTATTGTGACCATTACCATAAAAAATATTTAATTTCAAAGACTTTCAAGATAACCAACAAATGGAAGTGGATATTAATGTTGATGTCAGCAATGTGACCTCTGGAACAGGCTCTGCATCAGTGCTCTTACATCCACTTGTTATTTTGAATATATCTGAACATTGGACGCGTAACAAAGTGAAGGAAAACTCTATAGCTGTTACAGTGTATGGAGCTTTACTCGGGAAACAAGAAGGTCACCATGTTGAAGTATGTATATTTATCTAATCCATATTATCGCTCATCTGACAGATATCAAATTCCTTTGAGTTATTACTTGATGAACCACACATGTCAGTTAACTCTGAGTTTTACAGCACCCGTGAATCTCAATGCAAACAAGTTTATCCAGATTTAGACATAGTTGGTTGGTATACCACTGGTGGTGCTATCAATGAAAAAGATGAGTTATTCAACAGACAGGTACAATCTGATGTCATCTGTTGATGCATATTTTTAGATGCTAGAACTTAATGAATCTCTCCTCATATTAAAATTAGACCCTCTACAAACATGTGGAGAGAACCTGCCAATCGGGGTTTATGAGTCGGTAGTGGATAACGATGGCAGAGTTCACTTTAGACAGGTACCCGTTGTTTTTATTTTGTTTATGTTTGGTAAACTTAATTTGCTTTAACTTAACTTTGTGGTGTCATTCTATTAGTAGAAGTAACGATAAAACACACCCACTTAGTTTTCCTTTTGTATAACGTTAAGCTATTTTGATGTATCCCATAATGGATATATTTTTCGGATAATAGTGGTTTAAATATGGAGTGACTTTACAGTTCAAATGGTTCAACTTTTAGACCATTCTATTATTCAGGTGGCCTGTTATGAATGTCATAGACTAAGAGAACCCAGTTCATAACTTTAATTATTGAGCTTTGTTTAATCGAATAAATAACAAAATCGTTTCGCAGATGTGATTACACTTTATAATTTACAAAACAGGATATGGATAACCCGTTAAATTACGTTTTCCATTTAGCACCAATGAATTTCTGCTTAATCATAACAAACCACTTATCTTGCGTCTTCTTAATTGATCACTCTGTTTTTTTCACTATACTCAAGAAATGTTTCGAAAACGTTTATGGCCAAATGCTTACGGCCTGTGTATCTCTTCTACTCTCGTAAACCATCTTTCGTATCCGTAAAGTAGAAAATAGCAAACTTCTGAGGAGTTTACCCACCCTCAAGTAGCTAAACGATCTCATCTACCACACAGGTTGCTAAATCCCTAATAGGCTTACTGAAGCTGTATTTAGATTTAATCACTCATCAACCAACCAGGACTGATGAAACGTGCTATATAAACTAACTAGCCAACAAGTAGAATAACTCGTACTTGAATCACTTTTTACATTCCATGCTTCAGTTTTTCTGTTAGTTATTCCTTATGTTTGTCCCAGCTACTCCGTTTGAAGCATCAGCTCATTTTTATTTCTTAAAAATACTCTGTGCAAACAGATTCTAGAGAGGTATTATTAATATTTACATATACATCATATACGATATGACACCATACTTAGTCACTCGTGTTGATAAATACGCTTAATTTCCAGTTCCCTACTAGTACTTTTACTGCTTAAGTTTTGATGATGATTACATATCCGAAAGCCAACCAATGAAACCAATGGGTATCTCTTATTTCAGGTACTATATACTTTAGCAACTGATGAAGCAGAACGTATTGGTATCGATTATGTTGCACGTATTTCGATGTCATCTACTGATCAGACTTCATCAATGGTAAATCCCTTCTATTTCTTTATAATGTAATGATTTATCAATCTCTAATCACTTATATCACCTAAAACACACACTAACATTAATGTACTAAAACAAATGTTATCTAAATTTCAGCAGTTCAAAAATCCCCATAGGATATCCACAAATGTAGAATATTTGAGCGGACAATTTTTCAATAAATTCATCATCAAGTTCTAAAGTTATAAACATAAAGTAGATATTCATAGTACATTTCAACAGAAGTTTTCTCAAATAAATCAGTACTTACACAACAAATCAAGGATAGGTTACCGATGATGAGCTCCTCCATGTGTGTACGCCAATTCAACTGCTCCAGTGGAGCTAGTTACATAGGCCGTAATCAGAGGGATTTATTCTTGCATGTTCGTGAAAATGTACCAGCATGGTTGAGAAAAGGAGTTACTAAATCGATCAACAGTACTGTTCTTTCTCACTCGGTAGATAGTAAACATATCAAAGTCGGGGAAGCTTTCTCTGTTTTATATAAAGTTTTAAAAAATCTACCTCAAAGAGCTAGATTACGGCTACTCTACATAGCCGAAGCCATCTGGATCAAATCCAGAAAACCGAACTTATGTATCCAGAAAAGGTATATCCAGCCTCTATGTTTACCTTGACCTACGACTGGATCACCGGATACCTAAACTAAATATTATAAACCTCTTACCAGCCTCTCATTTTTTTTATTATATCTATCTTAATCTTCATATCCATCTTTCTCAATTCACATGGACCCTTCTTTATCGTAATCACCTTGATAACGTCCCTCTTATTACTTATTATATTCACACAACGATATCATTATTATTACGATTGCTATTATCATTATTACCTCAACTAACAAGATGAAATTCCCATACTATTCATTTTATTCACATTATTTTTTTCATTTTCACGTTTGCTATATTGCTATTATACTGACTGGGACTTCATACTACTCTAAATCATTCTGACCATTATATATATATATATATATATATATATATATATATAATTTCCGAAACAATTTATGGTATAAGTTCAGAGGGCTTTGTTGCTATGAAAGTTTTATGTACTGTTGTTGAGAACCTCTAGATCGTTTGAATCCTTAAGTTTTTGTTAACTGGCATTCGGAATTTCATTTAGACACTTATATCTAATGGTTTTATTGAACTTATTTAAAGGATCTTTTGTCAGAACACTGACTAATCTCTATATTTTAATGTGGTGCCTTCTAGCTCGAGATGTGTAGTCATAAAATTTTGGTTCAGTGACTCTGTTTAAACATTTTTTCATCGATTACTAGTGTATGTCTGTATTTTTATTGTAGACTGCGGAACATTTACTAGGAAATTATCAGGCCATTCAAATGTTAAGCAGTCGCCTTCAGCTAATAAGATCTTATGTCGCAGCTGTTGCAGCAGGAGAATTACCACCGAATAGAGCACGACTGAGGGAGATCAATGCTTTAGTCAAACGAATTCCTTTCATGCCTCCTTCAGCAGCCGAACAAAATGATAATTTGTACCGTCAAGCCAATGATGTATGTCTGACAGCATTGCTTGCCAGCATAACTCAAGGTTTACATACACTCTACGGTTGTATGATCAAAACATCTCACGTTATAGATCGCCGATCTATTCCTTTGAGTGTGGGAAGTGGAATTATGGACTCAGGTTCCAGCCGTTTTGCTAAAGTTTCCCACTCAATGGGTAATTCTAATTGAGAAGGCAAAATGTGTATTTTGTGAATAGAGTCAGCTTACGTTATATAAACCGAGAATAGATTTCTGTAGTTGTACATATCGACGTCACAATTTTCTTCGATTCACAATACTCAAGAACCATTTGGATAAAATCATATATTTGATTGTACGTTGGCTTGTATATAATCATATACTGTACTGTGGCAACTTGGACAATTCTATGGCCTTTTTGTTTTGATTCTGATACATAATCTTTGTCACAGCAGAAATTCATCGTCAATTCACTATTTTACCAATAAATAAAGATGATGAAAACCATAAAATGTAAATATAGCTAGAATTTAATTCCATGTCCTAGTGGCTGAAAGTTAAGGGCTAATAATAGTCTCCAAATATCAGAGTTCGGCCATCTATTCGCATATTAGTTTGTTGTTATTTCTATTAATAGTTTGAGCTAGCTTCTCACTTATTTTCAAAAAGACTGAGTAATACTATGCTCATCATAGTGTTAACCATGAAATGAATCTTTTCACTTAGATTCAAAATTCATTTCTGTAACAAACAACTTTCTTAAAGTGTTTGATTCTCACTAATGGATAAACTAAGTAATCAACAAATATAAATAATTTCAATGGTTGAGATCATGAGTCAATTGAAGATAGACCACCATGGGAAGCCTGGAAGCACTGGATGGCCGTTTCGTCCTAGTATGGGACTCCTCAGAAGTGCGCGAAACGGCCGTCCAGTGCTTCCAGGTTTTCCATGGTGGTCTATCTTCAATTGACTAATGATCTCAACCATTGAAATTACTATAATATCCACAAAACCCTTCAAATATAAATAGCTTATGTATAACACTGATATTAAATGCTATTAGTTCATTTTTACTTTAGGTGTGCCCAAGATAACTATCGTTTCACATTCTGAAATATATAGCACATTCCAGGATCTTGAATTATCTAGAAAAACCTGTCTATTGAAAATTATCATCTGTTACGACTGTTATTTGTAAATTTCTCATCATAAAATATAGTTATATATACTAATAATCTTCACGGGTAAATATTACCGAAAAGTAAACTCTAAGTGAATACATTGCCAAATATCTCATTATCTTGGAAAAGTTTTTTCCTCGTATGTAGTCACAGTAGTTGATTTAAAGAGAATCCACAAAAGTAATGTATTCACCTGCCACCCCTTTCGAAGTCAACAGATACAGTTTCTTATATTTCATAGACAAGAAACTTACTAGATGATTACCAGGCTTTAAATTTCCGGATCCTAATGTCTCCTGAACGCTACATGAACATTCCACATTTTGTGTAGATTTTTAGATGAACACATCAAGAAAACGTTATGTTCTCCGACTTCTCTGTCCAAAATCCACGAATAGAAACAAACAATTCATTTAACCTTCATATGAGTACCAAATAGTGGAAGAGTTATAGAAGTACGTCTGACCATGTTTATGAACACCGTAATCTGCTTTTGTAGTCTCACTGACCCTCGCTACCCACTTTTTTTCCAGCTCTTATGTTTAATGGTATGTCCAAAGTCAAAGGCACCAATAATAAGCTAATAACTGTTCTGTTGCTGTAGTTTCTGGAACCCACCTTTCCTCTATGGTTGTTTCACCATTTTGTGTACACAATTCCACACTAATACATAATGATACCTGAGAACTCTTAGTTCGAAATCGGTGTTTTACGTGTGACCATTTATGAGTCATTCGGATTTTTATCGTGTACCTTCATAACTTGTTACCTAACTGTATGAAAACCCATACCCTCACACTGAGTTTATCATTTCTAACAGGTTTACACATAATTGGTTTTATCTTTATGAAATTCAGCTTGCAAAACCCTTTTACCCAAATCACTCATTTAACTGCAGATCCGACCAGTATTGAATCATGACCCACATTGATGCGACTTACTGTCATCAATAGATTTTCCTTAACAATAGTTATTCGTAGTGTCGGGCAAGCAGTCTAACATGTAACCTCACGAAAAGTGGACGCTCTCTATTGGGTCGTTAGTGGTGAGTGAGATGTCTGTCTGTATAGGCTTTGCGATTGGGTTTAATAGAACTACAAAGTAGAAGAACGTCTCTAGAAGCCGAGTCTATCATTTGATCATAAAATTGACCTGCTATTTCAAGTCAAGATAAATTTATTAATCAGTATCAAACTGTACCACACAAGATGGAATCGATTCGTAATATTTTGATTTGTAGCTAAAAATGGATAAACTTTTCTTCGTATAATGCCAACCCTTAACCTGAGAACTTAATGACTTGATATTTTTAATTTCTAACAACGGATTTTACACTATTTCCTTCTCGGCGACAATTTCACGACTAAAAACAATTTAGCTTCTATATATCACTGTAATTTGGTGCCAGATGAAAAGATTTGATTGAAATAGAGTTTGTTTAAAAGTTGGTTCATGGTATCAATAAAAACAAAAATCACAAAAGTTTTGAAAACATATATAATATTTCTACAACTCTGTGTTTATTTATAGACTAATAACTGTTAGTTAGATCCAGAAATAGGAATTATCGACCCTCCCCAACCTTTTTAAACTCCCTGTTTCGGAAAATAGTTAAAAGAGTGATATCCAATTATTGGTTCACAAATTCTGACTAGAATTTCTAAGTTATGGCATTACAGTTATAAAATCAATTTGAAAATTAAGATCTATCAACTCTGTGATACCAAGAAAGGAAAATCAATGTAAACATCCTTCGTTAGGTGATAAGAGACTTTGTTGAAGCGTCAAATATTCTACTTCGCTTTCCGTTAAAACATTTAGTAATCTGTTACAGAGAATCGAAGTTGTTTTAAGCGTTAATATTGATTGGACTCATGACCTTCCTAATACATCTTCAAATTACGTTCTAGCTGTTTTAAAAACCGTAATCTTCAATGTAAAGACTTGACTTAAATATTACTTAGGACATTTCAGTGTAAACAGTAAATAGTATAATCCATAATAATTCTGACCGTCTTTATCGATTGGTCTGAATCAGTTACACTGAAATCTAAACGACTTTGTGAGTTCATGTTACAAATTGAACGAGGAGAGGATTCAAGACAGTTCACTTTAATTACAATACAGCATAGTATTGGAAAGTTGGGAAACACTGCCTTGCTTTTCCTATTTTCACTTCTACTCGATTTTCAGTCAGCAACAACGTAGAACTTCGTATGTACGTACGTACATCAGCTCAAGTTGCCATACCACATTAGCACAGAGATACAATTGTCGATCCACATCCCATAGTGGTAGAGGAAGTAAAAGTATAAGCAGTAATCGGAAAGATTAGGGTTTGGAGACGTTATTCAAAGAGTATAATCCAGTGAAATAAATTTGGAAAGAAAATAAAGGACATGAAGAATTCAGAAGATTAGAATTTGAGAGAACACAAAGAGTGGTTGCACTTGCACCACTGCAAACGATTTTGAGCCATTTCATTGAGGGTCTCTAACCATCGGTTGCTATCATCTCGCGGTCCCCAACCAGGTAGTCTACACCTACCAACATGACTCAGTCCACTTGTCAGTGACTTCATGCATTTTTGCCATGTTTTGGTCTGGCCGCCCCTAGTTTTCCTCCAACCTACTCCTACACCATAAAACATAGCACGTCGGGGCAGTCGGTCGTTGGGCATACGTAACACGTGTCCTAGCCATCTCAACTGATGAAGTTTCACTACTTCATCAATTGATTTGCCATCTTTACCTAGTACCCGTTTCCTAACAACTGCATTACTTACTCGATGGTCCCAGGATATACGAGCAATGTTTCGAAGACACCTATGATCAAATACTAATAACCTACGAATATCCTCTACTCTTACCGGCCATGTTTCACTGCCATAAAGTAAGACGGGACGAGCTGCTGCGCAGTAAACCCGTCCTTTGGTTGACAGACGGATATCTCGCCTACGCCATAAGTGACGCAAGTTGGCAAAAGCTAGTCGAGTCTTTAGTATCCGTGTTGAAATTTGGTCACACACAAGACCACAAAGCCTGACGGGACTCCCAGGATAAGTGAAGCAGTTGGAACGCTCAACTACCTCACTACCTATCATTAGTTCGGGTGTCCATGCAAACCAATCCTGAATCAACACTTTGCATTTCGAGGGAGAGAATCGCATCCCGAACATGCTTGCATTGTTGCTTAGAGTGGTCAGAAGACTGCATTTTGTCAGCGTCTTCACCAAATAGAACTATGCCATCGGCATATTCTAGGTCAGAAGGTGAATCTCCCGATAGAAGTTCAACCCCTGGAAGTTTAGATGAGGAAAGTGTAATCTTTAAAAGCACGTCAACGACAAAGTTAAACAAGAATGGAGAGAGTGGACAGCGCTGACGAACATCACTTGAGGTAATCAATTCTGATGACAGGTCTCCATAAGCTCTCACTCAAACATTTGTGTCCGAGTAGATAGCCTTTATAAGGTTAATGTACTTCTTTGGTACTCCTTTCAGTGACAAACACTGCCATAGAACCTCACGATCAACAGAGTCGAATGCCGCCTTAAGATTGGGAAATACTACCATTGTGGGGCGTCTGAATGTGTGTCTGTGTTCTAGAACCTGACGTAGTGTGAATATCTGATCTATACAACCACGTCCAGGTCGAAAACCAGCCTGGTTTTCTCTAATCTGCTCTTCACGAGCTTTGATTAGGCGTCGAAGTATTATTGAAGCTAATATTTTAGACACTATATTAGTCAAACTGATTCCTCTGTGATTGTCACAAGAGGACTTTTGTCCTTTCTTAAAAACTGGCACAATCAGTGATTGAGACCAGTCAGATGGGATTACGTCCAGTTCCCAAATTCTACCTAAGACCTCAGTTAATCTCACTGCTAATACTGAACCACCATCCTTAAAAATCTCAGGAGTAAACCTGTCAGGGCCTGCTGCTCTCCCTCGCTTCAGATTTCCTATGGCTTTTTCAACTTCGTAAAGAGACGGAGGACCTACATTAACTTGCCATTCAGGTTGACTGGAGATCGTGGGAAACCGAAGTGTGGCTGAAGGCCAGTTGGACTCATCCCTAAAGTGTTCTGGCCATCGATCCAATCTTCTGGATTGGGAATGAATAAGTTGTCCATCTTTTTCCAAGATAATTTCACTAACAGTTGGGTTCCTAATACCGGTTTCCTTAACAAGTCTGAACAATTGTCTTCTATTATTTTTGCCGCTGCCTTTTCCATCACTCTTGCTTTCGCTACACAGCACTGCTCGTGGTCATTGCGTGGGCTTCTTATCATCCTGAGCTTAAGCTGACTCCGCACTTCGTCATGTTCAGAGCCAGATGGAATGAGTTTTCGAGTATCAATCAGTGCAGTTGGTGCCGCTGAGATCCAGTATTTCTCCCCAACCTTATGGTTTATCTGACTAGCAGTTATCACTGCTATTTTCACAGCTTTTTTGATATCATTCCAGGCCGCCTTGTGGCGGGCATCACTTACATGGCTGCCTAACTGTTTTTCTAGTTGTCCCTGAAATGCATTCTTAGATCCGCTATCATTAAGTAGAACCCTAAGGGATTTTCTTGCAGCGTCTTTCCTACGTCCAGTAAGACGCAGACAAAGACGCGCTAACACTAGAGCATGATCTGAACCTAAGCATGTGTTCCAGAATGAGCGACAGTCTTCCATCGGTAGCTGATAGCAATGTGATCTATTTGGGTCCAACGTTGGGACGAATTAGGCGGTCGCCATGTCAAAAGATGTTTTTGCCTTATACTTAAAGTTAGTATCTGCAACAAACAAGCGGTTATCTGAGCACAGCTGCAACAGACGGTCGCCATTATCTGTTCTTTGAGCCAAGACACCATAAGATCCACACAAGTGTCTCTCGTTTTCGCCTAGTTTTCCTACTTGAGCATTCAAGTCATTAGCCACTATTACTACGTCAGAACGCCTAACCTTTTGGAGGAGGTCAGAAGACTTTCTTTAAATTTCGTATTTTACCTCATCTGAGCTGCAGTCAGTGGGAGAGTAGGCAGCGACGACAAGTGTCCCTATCTTCCCGAGTCTTTACTGTTCCGTTTAGTCGGACAGCGCACAAGTGGTTGTCTACTGGGATCCAGTCTAAGAAAGCTAGTTCTTCCCTAGGACTCAATGCTATACCTACACTAGCGAGGCCATGGGAAGCAGAATCAGGACTTCCAGATATACGAAGTGTGAACCGATGTGGGTCTTTATTTTGATATGGTAAGGTCAAATGAGTGACGCTACTCGGATCCTGTATGCGCGTTTCGGGGACGTAGCACACATCGATGGCGCGAGATTCTAAAGTCCTAGCTAAGGAAGCCTGTTGTCCTATTTGGCACAGTGTTCGGACTTTAAAAGCTCCTACATTTAGTTTAGAGTTTGGCTTCAGGAGACCGGGAATAACGTTCCGCGTACTCGAATCTTTTGCATTAGCGGCGTGAGAAAGATTATTCGTGGAGATAAGAGGGTTATTAAGTGTAGGAAGAATTTTATTGTGACCGACATGGTCTCGTGTTGTTTTGGATATGAGGGATGATGTCACTTCCCGGCTGCCCACATCGTGGAAGGGTATTTTTTAGGGAACCTGAAGAGGAAATTGGATTAGTATTGGTCTTAACGACCCGGAAGAGTGACCGCAGAGCCCAAGGGACAACTACTTGAGGCCGGTCGCTCACGGCCTTTTCGTGGAAGGTTTTTAATGTGTTAGCTCCGTTCTTCAAAGGACCTTACCGCCGGACAGGAATCCGTGAGGTGTGACGTTTTTAGGGTTGACCTTTTCCAACCCCTTCCTTCCTTGTGAGAAGGCAGCGTCGCTGCAGATACTGGTTGTCCGAGAGAAACACCTTACTGCTTTCACACCCCTCTACAGTCAGCAGTATGACTTCGCCCTCAGACCTTGAGTTGCTGCTTTTAGTCTTACCGTTCTCCAACCGACCTGCCTGGCATGATAGAACATACGGGAACATATGTTCTAGCCAATATAGCTCGGTCGGATCATCACGATAGGCAAGCCCGACCACCACGTCAATGTAGCAGCTACGGTGGGGCTACTCGATTTTAGTCAGTCTTTTAAGTACTCATGTTTAGTTATTTTATAAAATACTACTAGTCATACGGTTGATATGTATTGTGAATTTTTGGAAGTTAAAGTCCTGGGACAAATCGACTATTGTAAAAGTAGACGCCCCAGATCGTTGGCAAATATTTATTAGTCCCGAAAGAATCATTTTTTTAAATTAGTTCAGAACCTACGTATAAATTAAGTTACATTTTAGATAGTGAAATTTTGTCTTTATTCCGGTGTGAAAACTCACCACTACCAAAACCTTATTGTTTCAATAGTCAGAAATTTCCTATATTAGATATCAGACTGAAATAATCAAGTCCATATTCATATTTAAACATTATTAAATAAATTAATCCCTTGAATTGCTGACTTAAAATTAAAAATAACTACGTATATAGTGTTTACATTTTCCAATTAATTAGGATCTCTATTCAATCCATTTTTGATTAGTAATACTCTCGCTCTGATCCGCAATTTTAATGCTTATAGTTTTTTAGAGGATTATAATGGTCATCAAACTTACACCAGTTAAGTTACATGTACTCCAATTTATACACTTTTCTTGTCATCTTTCTCTTGGTCTTCTTCATCGTTATTCCTAGAAATAAAGTAAAAATCGTAAAAAAGCTTTTTATGACCATTATATTTACTCGTTGTCATCTTCGTGCTTTTCTTGGTCTCTGTCAGCAGTTTGTTTATTTAGTATAAGTTGATCGTCATATAAATGTCGATAGTCTCCAAGAATACCTATTCTTTTTGAAAAGTTTATGTATTACTTATAACATATACTTTTCATTTTCTTCATGTACATTAGTCTCAGTCATATGTAACCTTTAAAAATAAATATTATTGATCATCGGAAATGTTTATTTCTATGATTACTTTCTTTGCTTATCTTCACTTTTGTTCAGGTTAATCTTAGCTATGTTTTCTTCCGCACCAGGTAATATAAGCCTTAAGGCTGGTGAGCACTTACTTTGAAAATGAAACTCCATAAGAATACAAAATTAGGGATCATACTTTAGCATTGATGCTCGGGGTAGTTGTGTCTGATATATCTTGATATTCTTACTATCGAGTTCGCCTTTTTGACCGAAATAGGAAGCTCCTTGTCGCCCAAGAGAATTGAACATTTCTGATCTTGTAAACCTAAAGGCAAAAGCAGTAAGGTATTTCAATTTGACAAACACACTACTATTTTGCTCGATTTTTTACAATTATGTATGTATCTACATATACAAAATTTTTTGATAAGCGAATATGAACGATGAGCTTGTTTGTTACAATCAATGCTGAACTTTATTTGTGATGGTGGGAATATTTGTAACCCAAGTGGATGATTTTGACGAAGTTTTGTTCTCGAAACTGAATGGTTTGGATATGGATTTGTTTCTCATTTAGTCTATTAGTGTTTAAATAAACGGAAATACTAAGTATAAATTATGGAGTTAGAATTCCTATGCATTTGATGGCTGATATATGTTACATCCTAGTGAAGATTAAATTATATTTAACTTCTGAGAACCATTAATGAACTAATATTATATTTGTTTTATTTTGTAACTATTCAGTAACTAAATTACCATAACTATATTCCTCTTATTACAAGCTTTATTCTGACTTATAGACTATTATGATACGATTTATTATTCTTGAATTATTCTCAGTCTATCAATTACCACCACCCACAACCATGTCCACCTTTTGGCTTGATCTTGTACAAATGTTATTTCCTATTTTATGGTGTGATGTGGTCCGTTTGGCTCGTGTGTAAACCAGGTATGTTTGGAATAAATGATTCGCGTAGCGGAAGCTGGTATTGATGTTCTGGACTCAACTGGCAGGGCTAGTAGTACAAAGGACCAATAAAGATGCTAGGCTGCTCATACCGGTCAAACGTCATTGGTTTGACGCAGTGATAAGACTGTATAAGTCGTATTTTGATTGGCGAATAAATCACGTGATATTTAAGGGGGCTTAAAGACACAACAGTATATAGTGGTAAAGGTTAGTTTTCTTTTAGACCAAAATTTACTGTTTGCTATCTGGACTGTGAATAACTAAGATTCTACTCGAGGTTATATAGTGATAGTACAATAATATAAAAAAAACACTAACTCCATCAAGAAAGCTCATAAAGTTTATATGTGATACACATATCTAACTTAGTCAAATCGACATTCAAATTGTGATACCTCGAATCAATATTATTCACAAGTTCATCAGATCGTTGCACGGTTTTCAGTGATACTTCATTTTATTAATCTATGTCTACGTATTGCGTTCAAAGTTCATTCGATCTACTTTATTTCGTATTGAAACTTCGTACACTAATTTTTTAGTTTTGTTGTTAATAATTCCTTTGATTCATCATTAATTAGGGCAGCTTTTAACATGTATTTAGTTTGTCCCATACTTCTTACACTCGTACTTTAATGGTATATAATTAAAAATATTTGTATTAATTACGTACCATCCAATTTGAGTACAGATTTCTTTAAATCTTGTTCGTAGAAATGTTATCCACATACAAAATACAAAAAACCAAAAGAATGTTTCATATAAATTTTGATCTGTTTTTGCAGTTGCAACTGGATCAATTGGTCTAGGGCATATATTATGCATTAGACTTCGTTCAAGTAGTAGAAATTTAGCGTACGCAAGTGAAAAATCATATTTTAATATATCTATTCGTTTATGTAATTCTTCTTGTTCCTTTAACTGGTTTACATTGGGTAATCTAAAATGGTCAAACGTTTATTTAAGAAAAAAAATTGATAATATTCATAAAATTCGAAATAACACTTTACAATTTTTCATCGGCAAATTTTTCTTCAAATTTCAATATCTTAAAATAACATTCTAAATATTTTGCCAAACTTATCAATAGTTTGTCACATTCCGGGGATCTAATTTAAAGAAAAACTAGTTATCAAATAACCAATAAAAAATATACTTGATCATTTTAGCAAAGTGTTGGGAATATTGGAAATGCTTTCCTGAAGCTTTTAGTCTTGTCAAAGCAGCAGCTGTCCTTCCACCAGAAAAACTTGATACTTACATTTTATATCCTTTATAGTTATTGTACGAATTTCATCAGCAATTTTCATATGACTCTTTTTGTAAAGATTTCTGGTCATCACCGTAAAAATTTATCCAACATTTTACTTTTGTGAATAAATAGACTTTTGTGATTTTTGATCAGTAAATTTGATGAACACAAGTTCATTTTTATCATCGATCCACTCAAATCTTCCTGTTGTCGGCTTTAAAAACCAAAATTATCATATAATTAGATTAAACACACCAAACTTAGTTCACTTTGAAGAGGATTTGCATTGTTCATTGTGTATTTCAATGGTATCTGAAAAAATAGAGATAAAGCGTTTGGTACAACGTTTTAGCTCAATAATATAAATTTGACAAAAATTGTATGAAAACAAAGATTTTTTAATGATTGTTTAATTTGAGACATGTTTTAATCACAAGCTGACATTATTTGGATAATCATTGTAAATCGAAGATCGATGAACAGCTACTTTGTCCTGGTTTGTGACTCCTCAGGTTTGATGCTGTGTGATCCAGAGTGCATACAACCCAATACTGCTAGCTTATAACAAAATAGCTGTGCATCACTTTCTAGTTTTCTGTGATCCTTCAGCTTGACATCAGTGTATGATATAAACTTCCCTTTTCCACCTACCGCAATAAACATAAAATTATTCACAAGTTAAAGCTGAAAAAGCTATTAACCCATAATGTATCAAAAAATACTTTTGTACGATGGTTTTGACTTATTTTACGTAGACATCCACTACTAGTGACTTGCCAGAACTTTTTTATCTACAAAACGATTGATCTTACTTTACTTGAATCGCCTGACCTAATGTCTGATATTTTGAGTTCATATAAAACATTAATATCAATTTTATTAGATTATGTACAAAATAATTATCATAAGAACTTGTTTTACCCTAGGATAGTATTTAAGACGGATCATCACACATTTAAAAAATGAACATTACTCCTATCTATATCCCAGGAGAATGAGCTGTGAATTTTAAATAACCGGACTTCTTGTTATGGCTGACTGAAATGAATCCCATTATTGTAGTTCTGCACACCTGTACTACTGATTTTTCACCCCTATTGTTATCACAGATTCGCATATCCGTTATTATTGTGAATTTCACGTAGATATGTTTATTGTATTTTAGTCAAGCAATTCAGATTGACACTGTTGGTTATGTAATATATATATATATGGTAATGCTTATTCATGCCGTCAGATTTTCTTCTTGAACCATAACACTTCTGCATATTAATACAAACAGATTTCGAATGTTGTAACTAATTTAAATGTTGGTAAAATAATGATCTCAAAACATTTGTCTGTTAGAATATTTCAGTGTATTCTGCACATGGGATTTTAAATTACTGGAGCAGTTGAAATATACTTCGAATGTTAATAACTACAGTGACTTTCAATTAAAATTATGGTTTATTGTACGCATATATGCTTGTTCTGTGCTTTCCTTCACGTAAAATATTCAAATCAAATGTATTTTATGGGACCCTATTTATATCTGAGAAGAATTAAAAACAGCATATTTTACTATTTCAAGGCAGTTAAACTTCGTGCTGATAAAATCAGGAAAAGACAAAAATAAAACATCTCCAGTTGAAAGCAGTCATTAAGTCTTGTTTGTTATTCACTATGAACCAATAAACTTTTACTTTATCTAGGTATATCAATGACGTTTGGCTCCTGCTAAGTAACATTATTTCAAAGAATGTACGTTCACTCAGGTGATTAAATAAGATAGTTGTCTTGATTTGCTCACAAAACAATTACAAAGCTTACTCGAGTGAGTTGAGGCTCAATTCATCGACTCTTTCAAAAGAAAGTTAAATCTACTGAGAGACCATCATTGTCAGGAATGACACAGGCCATCAAGCCTCCTGTCTTTTCCAAACTGAAACTGAGTCAATATAAAATTAACTGATGTCTGTAAATTTTGTTTAATACCTCGCTCAGTGTGTATGTACAATGAAGAAAAAGTATGTAAGAAGCCTAAACCCTGATAAGCAACATAGAAAACCTTAATTCCTACTTGATCATAACTCCACCTGTAGCTCTTCTAGAGTTACTGCTGGTTCCAGGCCCGGGTGAAGGAGGAAGGTTGGGCATGGAGTCGTAAACCCCATCCCGTGGAAAAAATCTTGCTAAAAGAACACCAACCAGATTAAACAAATTAAACCAGTTAAACTCTGCCCTGGGAGTTGAAAGAAGAACTATGACGCTCCACAATGAAAGCCGCGATTCTTCGGAAGTCACGAGACCGATGTCCCTTCTAACAACCAGAGCAACAATTAATATAGGTACGTGGAATATCCGGTCAATGCGAGACACTGAGAGAACTGATGAAATAGCTATGGAAATGGGAAGATACATCACGACAGTTCCTGAAGTCAGTGAAAACCATCGGACTCAAGTTGAACAGAAAAGGTTGGGTACGGGAGAGATGCTGCTGTACTCTCGTTACGAAAATGAACATGCTCCGCACACAGGGAGTTGCTCTAAAGCTCTCCAAAGTAGCACGAAATGCACTTTTAGGATGGGAATCTCACGGATCCAGAATCATCAAAGCATCATTAAAATCAAAGAAGGAGGGGATCTTAATGAATATTATCCAATGTTATGCACCCACCAATGATTGCAATGACGACATTAAAGATCAATTCTACGAGCGGCTGCAGTCAATCATAGAGAAATGCTCAAGAAAGGACCTCACCATTCTGATGGGAGATCTAAATCCTATAGTCGGAATAGACAACACTGGATATGAAGATATCATGGGACGACGTAGACTGACTGGGAGAGAGAAACGAAAATGGGGAGATATTCGCAAATGTATGTGCATTCAACAAATTGGTTATTGGTGGCACAATATTCCGACAAAAACGCATACACAAAGCTACATGGATCTCACCGGACCACACCACAGAGAATCAAGTAGATTATATTTTTATCAATAAAAAATTTCGAATTACATTGGAAGATGTGAGAACCAGGAGAGGTGCTGACGTAGCTTCAGATCACCACCTAGTTGTGGCCAATTTAAAACTGAAGCTGAAGAAGAACTGGACAAGTGGACAAACAACACTACAAAGGTTCAATACAGCCTACCTTCGAGATACTAACAAAATCAACGAATTCAAGATAGCTCTCAACAACAGGTTCCAAGCCTTACAGGATCTACTGAAGGAAGAAGAAACTATTATGGAGGGCGACTGGAAAGGTATCAAAGAAGCATTAACTTCAACGTTTCAGGCGGTTCTGGGTCTAAAAAAGCATCATCATAAGGAATGGATCTCTATAGAAACACTGGACAGGGTCAAAGAAGTAAGAATAAGAAGACAGCAAATATCAACAGCCGAACACGAGCAGAGAAAGACAAGTTACAAGCCGAATGCACAGAAGCAAACAAGCAAGTGAAGAAGAGTATGTGAGCCGACAAGAAGGAATACAGAGAGGAATTAACTACGACGGTTGGAAAAGCTGCAAGAGAAGAAAATGTGAAACAGCTTTATGATATAACGAAGAAACTGGTAGGGCGATATGAAAAACTAGAGAAACCGGCCGAAAACAAAGGACGTAAGTCAGTCATCGAGATTCAAGAAGAGAAAAACAGATGGATAGGATACTTCGAGAAACTCTTGAAAAGACCACCTCATTTGAATCCACCGGAAGGCATTTGACAGTGTTGACAGGAAAACATTATGGAAACTACTTCGACACTATGGAGTTCCTGAGAAGATTGTCAACATTGTACAGAACTCATACGATAGACTACAATGCAAAGTCGTGCATGGAAGACAGCTAACAGATGCACTCCAAGTAAGGAAAGGAATCAGACAAGGCTGCCTACTCTCTCCCTTTCTCTTTCTTCTGGTGGTCGGCTGGGCTGTGAAGACCTCGACATCTAAAAGAAAGCGCGGACTACAACCGACAGCTTGCATGAAACTAGACGATTCGGACTTTGCAGATGACATGGCCATCCTATGCAATACACACAAAGAAATACAGATAAAGACAATTGGTGTAGCAGCAGTCTCTACATTAGTAGACCCCAACAAACAAAGGAAAAAGCAAACTCCTCGAACAACATAGAAAACGCCAACCAACCCGACCAAACTTGGTAGAAGAACTCTGGAAGAGGCGGAAACTTACACGTATCTGGTAACGTCATCGATGAACGTGGAGGATCAGATGCAGATGCAGAGGCGAGGATTGGTAAAGCAAGGACCGCATTCCTGCCGTTGAAGAACACATGGAACTCAGAACAACAGCAATATCAAAGTAAGAATCTTCAATGTGAACGTCAAAACAGTCTTACTGTATGTAACGAAACGTGAAGAACTACCGCAACCACGATCAAGCATGTACAAGTTTTATAAACAGTTGTCTGCACAAGATACTATGGGATAGAACAAACCAACTTCCAGCTGACGAGAAAATTAGGAAAAGACGCTGGAAGTGGATGGGACATACATTGAGAAAATCACCTGACTGCGTCATGAGGCAAGCGCTACTTGGAATACTGAAGGGAAATGGAGAAGCGGAAAGCCAAAGAACATACTGCGTCGGGAAGTGGAAGCATAAATCGAAAGGATGGACAGCAACTGTAAACAAGTGGAAAGAATCGTCCAGGACAATGTTAGATGGAGAGTGCTGATGGGCGGCATATTCTCCACCACGAGGGATAACAGGCGTAAAGAAAAGTAAAGTAAGTAACCAAAGTTTAGGTTATGCTTCTTCATCCACCTGGTGTAGGTCGTCCTACAGAGGTAACGCGTTCAATCATTCATAATTACAATGTATACTGACGATGAGCTACTTTAGCTATTCTCCAAATAAGACTGGAAGCTATGATTTTTTGGTTGCTTTTTCTCAGATTAGACAAAATCAAGTGGTTGTCAATCAGAAATTCTTCGACGGGAAGATACTGTCTGTGCGTGACGGCACCTGACGAATCCTCGAAATTGAGAAATGATCTCAGTTCTTCAATAAGGTCAAAGAACCAAAATTACGTAGTCGTTATCTCCTTTGCGCGTGCGCTAAGCAAAGCTGACTTTACGGAGAATGCCATCTCCTGAAATCACCATATCAGGTTGAGATAATCTCTCCCGTTAACAATTATCGTATTCGGTGTCAGCAGCTAACTTACCGCAAAATACTAACCAGTGATCTTTAGGGGTTTGCAAATATCGCTGAGTGTCGTAAAAATTCATGAAGATTGATAAACTATTAAGTGTGTACTTTTAGTGCTATTGGACAGAAGTACATAAACAGGTGAGTTCCCTCTCCCATTCCGGACTATATGCCTTTGAGTATTAAAAACATGTCAGGTACAGACGGCGTCTCGCATGTGGCTTGAGATGCCCACGTTTCAAATTTTTCTTTCATATGGGTATTATGTACACTGCTTGGCTCATGCAGGTCATACAATATGTTCTGTAAACACGTAAGCTTGATTCTTTCAATATGAAGGGCTTATGCGTTCTTGCCTTGTGCTTTCCAATTGGCCATGGAAGGAAAAGAGACCTACCTACCCATATATTTACTGATGCTTGACAGTCCATAAATAGAATTGTCTACCCGAGTAGCTTTCGGTCTTGATTCTGGCATTATTTGGCTTGTCCAAATGAATGTAGATACCGATTAATAACCAATGTCTGTTGGCACAAGATACATCGGGATCGAATGCGGTGATCTGAAGAGGAGAGGAAACTACCTTCGGTATTTTTTGCCTGGTATATCTATCCTTCTTGGTCAACCGTACCACGTGTACGATCGAGATGTTATGATGCTTCAGCGAAGGCTTTACGAACTTCCGCTCTTTAATGTCATAGGTTGCATAATCATTGTCTGTGTTTTCTGGGGTACTTTGCACAATAATTCTCCTTTATTCAATATCAGTCAACTTGAGTTTTCGTCCGACCTGACTTAGGACATAGTACACACGTACTCGTATGACGCGACTCATGGCAAGGACCACTCAAAATGGCATAAATAGGACCCATCAAAGTCCTCCATTGCAAACGCGAGACAGATTATATTAGAGGAAGCATGATGAGACTCTAATTTAGCGACGAGCCAATCAGAAGCGTTTGAGCAATTTCAAGGTCACGGAGCCAAGTTCAACACGCGATGCTAACATACGCTCGGTTCACAGCGGATTTTAGAGAGGAGGTGATTAATGAGAGGTTAAAACAGATGGGACGGCGAAACTCTGATTTAGGGACGAGCCAATGAGAAGCGTCTGAGCAATTTCAATTATTAGTCAATCAGAAGACGGTACAAAGTAAAAATATGTTACAAGAAAGTAATGGATTACAGGGGATATTCTTCTTTTACATGATTTAAAAACTTGTTAAGGTTTGATAAAGGCTCAGAAGTTCTGAATTCATAACGCATATTGCGTAGAAACTCATCCATAGGATTAGTGTTTGGGGTTAAGATTAGGGTTAGGTTAAGGTTAAGGGTTAGGGTTAGGTTAAGGTTCAGGGTTGAGGTTAGGGTTTAGGGTTAGGGTTAGATTAGGGTGAGGTTAAGGTTAGGGTTAGGTTAAGTTTAGGGTTAAGGTTTAGGGTTGACGTTAGGGTTAGGGTTAGATTATGGTTTAGGGTTAGGTTATGGTTAGGGTTGAGGTTAGGGTTAGATTAGGGTTAGGTTAAGGTTAGGGTTAGGTTAAGGTTAGGGTTAAGGTTCAGGGTTGAGGTTAGGGTTAGGTTAAGGTTAGGGTTAACCTTAACCCTAACCACTAATCCTATGGACGAGTTTCTATATCATATGCATTATGAATTCAGAGCCTCTGAACCTTTATCAAACCTTAACTAGTTTTTAAATCATGTAAAAGAAGAATATCCACTGTAATTCATTACTTACAATATGTTTTCACTTTATACTAACTGTCTTCTGATTGGCTAATAATTGTCAAGGTCATTTAAGATTCGTTCAAAGGTCGTCGCTAAATTAGAGTCTCGACGGAAGCATGAATAATGTAGAGGATTCGATCGAGAAACAAAATTAGCTTGACAATTGGCTTGCAGTAACATCCAGAAAATTCATGGAACAGAGTGATGCCTGCACACCTGGCATCAGGTCAGACTGCAGGGATGAAAAGAGTTTAGGTAACAGCATCTCACGGCTTGTTGAGATGGATCTCGCTGAAAGCGCAGTCATTTCTTCATAAGTTAAGAGAGTCCTTCGGAAGGGAGTCAAAGCGTGCATCTGAACACAGCCACATTATGGCCTTAATTAATAAGCTACTTAAAGAGACAGTCGCAGGAGTTTATATTCATAAGCTTTATAGAGTAGCACAAAAAGTGGGTTCAAGAAGCACGCAAACAAACCGAGTTACGGACGTAACTCCTACTTTTGCTGAGAAAAGGAACCTAAATTGGAAAATTGACGCGAACTGGCTGAATCCGGAATATATGTTCGTAAGGATCTCAGCCCGGTTAATCATATTAGTAGACTATCAGAAAAAGCATAAACATATGAGCGCCGCCGGAACGGTTAAAAACCTCATACTTAAGGGTTTTCACGCAAAGCGAACCTAAACTACTCAGTGGAACGAAGGCGTTTGTCACCATATTAAAGGTATGTTATGCAAATGCTAAATATGATGGAGGAGCTCAAATACGTGGTGAGTACAGAAAATCCTAGTGTTATTTCTGTCCCAGAAACATGGGTAGCGTCAGATAAGTATGATAGTAGATATTAATCGCTTGGTTTCTTACTTTGTAGGGCTGACAGAATAAACTGTAGGGGTACTGAGATTATCCTGTTCATTAAAAGCGTCCTAACCATACGAGCTACAAAGATGGTGGCACACGACTCCAGGACACGTGAACTGGTGCTTTGCCTTCAAGAATATAAAGGGCAAGATGTTCACTCGGTTGTAGTATACCTCAGCCATGAATGATCATGTGGTCATCACGTCCAATTTCATAGTTGATCTGGTCTGTCAAGCTGTTGCGCCAGCCCATCCTAGCTCATGGAAAGCAAACATAAAGACGACTATCTCTGCAGCCTCGACTGAAAGCTTGAAAATTAACTCCGGTGCATCAGTAGACGATGCATGAACTCAATTCCGCCAGTCATATAATCAAGTAGCTCAACTATTTACATACCGGACAGTTCCAAAGAAGAAAAAACACAGGCATTACTGGATAAACCAGAAGATGCGACATCCACCAAAACAAAGGAAGTGTTGGGTAGCCATCAGCCTCTAAACAACAAATATAATTGGATGCTACAGATAATTGCGAAGTTAGTATGTAAATAGAATTCGGGTATCTCAGAGAAAATATGAGAACCAGTTAACGCAATATGTAATCAATCATCCCATGAGACTGGTCTCGTACATAAATTACACAATGAAGGTGCATCATTAAACCTTCAATCCAACTACCGAATGGAGTGAATCTTAGGTTACAGAGAAAAACAATGACAAGGCAGAGGACATTGCCAACTACTTTGAGATGGTTTTCACTCAGGAGGCCCCTTTAGACAAAGGACTAGACTCAAATAAAAGATGACGAAATTGGTTGCTTACTGTGAATTTTGATCTGGACGGAGTACTAAAGGCCCTGAGCACCTTATACACAGAAAGCTCAACAAGACCAGATGGACCACATGTTAGAATTCTAAGGTCAATTATACCATACGTTGTCACTCCATTTGCTACTATATTAAATCTGCAAGTTAGCCAAGGTGAGTTACCCACGGACTGGAATGATACAATCGTCAATCCAATACATAAGACAGGAACAAGACAACTTCCATCAAACTTCTGACATGTCGGCAGTACTTGAAATACTGTAGAGAATAATCTAAAACGTCAAAACAACATTCGTAGGAATCAATAACTTGTTGAATAACGTATACCGTGGTTTCTGAGAAGGATTATCTTACACAGCATTCTCATAGCAAGGGTGGCTCGACATAGTGGAAAGCCAGTGGATGTTGCCTATATAGACTTCAACACGAAGTAGACTACTCCTGAAGCTAGAAAATATGAGAAATTTCGGACTTCGCCTGGAGTGGATCAAGGATTTTGTGATAGGTCGCAGACATAAAGTATGAATAAATTACAAATGCTCCTCCTGGAAACCAGTACGTAGTGGAGTACCGCAAGACTTTGTCGTAGGTATTTTACATGTTATATTGTATATACAGTTAGGCCTCCAATCCTACTACACGCTGATGATGTAAAAATCTGGCGTGAAATAGCAGGAAACACATATGCGCATGTTTTTGGGGCAGATTTGAATGTTCTAATTAACTAATCTAAGAAATGGCTGATGCCTGTCAATGTGGCTATGTGTGTCTACATGTTTATTTGTGGATACAACGATATATATGTACAGCGCAGGAGAAAAGTCAGTGCCTATAGTTCAGTCTGACAAGGACCTTGAGGTGAAGGCAAGCCGCAATCTGAAAAGCACAGACAACCATCATCAGGTCACGGCTAGAAAGTTTAGAACATAACGGCCTCAAAGACGGACATTTATTAGGTTAGTTCTTAATATGTTCACTGCAGTAAACATAAAACTAGTGAGATCCAGGCTGCACGTCTTCGTTCAAAAGGAGACTCGGATATGTTGGAAAAATTAAAAAAGAGGCTACTGGTGCAATTACAGAACTCAGGGGTGCAGCCGTAAATAAATCCACAAAACAAATAGCTCTGTAAGTCTTCGACATTGGATGCTGACCACATTAGTTTTGGTGTACTCACCTAGCTGAAGGCGTTCGGTCATGCATCCACACCAGGTCACGAGTGGGAACGCCGTGCTCAACATCCCCTACAATCGCTAGCCAGTCTAAATAAGCCTATCCGCGATATATTGATAGCCTATTAAATATATCTTCAGACTTCCTCCCTCTTGCCTTTTGATTTTACTTGTTGGGTACGCTTCATATTAGGTGTTACTGGTTAAAGTGTTGTCAAACTCTGAATACCTGTGACATTTTCAGGGGTTTATTGTACAAAAGGTGGCTTGGAAAGCTAGATCTCTTTAGTTTGTCTTATCGCAGATTAAGATTTGATCTGATTTTTATGTACAGAATACTAGGAAATGACTTTTGATACGACATATTCTCTCTTTTTCTTCCCACTAGATCGGAACATCTCAGAGGATTTAGCAAGCGAGTAGAGAAGCCAAGAAGGAACAAAATACCCGTGGCATACATGTTTTCACACCAAGCCATCAATTCTTGTAACCTGTTATCCGAAGCGCTGGTGTCCGCACGCTCAAGTGACTGGTTTAAGAAAAGACCAGACACTCGGTGAAACTGACTAGAAAAAAACTAACATAGGCCCTCTCTTCTTACCACACAAATCCGAGTCTAAAAACCATGTACTCTGCTTGGCAAAAGCACTGTTATCGTCTTATGAGTAACTCGCTTTGTAGTTCCTTAAAGTTTTGTTATTGACATACTCATTGGGTGTTGGTGTCTGATTTCGAGAATAAACAGGTCATACAGCCCGTTTCCTTCAACTGTTCGGCCATTTCATATGGTATAAACCACTAAGATCAACTTGAGTAGCTCTACTCTAACTCCATCTTCGTTCTACTTTTTGTTTCGAGTAACTGTTTATTAGATTGATGTTGTAAATTTACGTGAAGGTAAGGAAAGATATAGAAAAATATTTTGAGGCAATACAAGATATGATGCCGTAAGTTTTATTGGTGTATTCATTTTCGCGGAAAATGTCAAATAATAATTTTACGATATACATTAAAATAAAATACTAAACTCACGGGCTCAGATTTGAAAACGTGCCAGTTTTGCTACCATAGCAACACTACTGACATCGTACTCAAATAGAAGCAGCCTGGAAAGAAACTTGCCATTGTTTACATTCAATTTTAATCAAACATACAATCAGTAACAGAACCTTTGTTTGAATCATTTGAACATGCTTCTCGTTCCAGCCGTACATGTTTTACTTAATAAGTGTGGGCACTTCTTAGTGTTTTCCTTTTTTGTTCTTGAAGTTCTTCTGTATGTATACAAATCTTATTACTTTCATTTCGGATCAAGTGCCTGTGTAGAGGAGTTGTTTATATTGTTTGGTTGGTTGGTCTCAGAAATCGCAAAACATTTTTTCGGTTCTTTGATATTTGACCCTAACGGTATTTCCAAACCGGCGTATATTTCCAGCCTTGTGTTTTACATTCCTTCGGCTTTAGGTGGCACATTCTTTTTGTTCTGGCAGTCGTTTGTTACACAAATAGAAGTCGTCACCTGTTCTACTCTCTTGTGTTTCAACTGTCTTCAGTTCGTTATATCCCTAGTGGTTATAATCCCTAACAGAAAAAACCCAAACTGAAATATCTGAGGTAGACCTTTGCTAGCTACCTAACCGCATGTCATCTCACTGTGAATCTTCATTCCCCGCTCTTGATTGTAATTATTTTTCTTCGTATAACCTTATTGTTGCTTGTGTTGGTGTCGGCAATGTAGCCCAACTTGCTTGTGATCTTTTAATCTATAACTTAGGTTGTGATGTTATTAGTAGTTTAAATTTTGAGTACTGCCCATCCGTAGTCGGTATCAATCCTTACCGATTGCCTGGAGATGTGCATGGTTTGATGACAACTTCACAGGTATATATTTTTTTTCTGAGTGTTATATGATATATACAAGTTTTACGGTAATCTTTATGTACTAAATTCATAGTCGATCTGACTTCAACTATTCTATGTCATAATGAACACAGATTATAAGATTTCAAGCTGACTAAGCAGCTCAAACCTTGAACTGTTAGGAGGAATCTGTGAATAATTTGTCCTTCACGATCTGCGTCTGGGTACTCAAAGATCATTCTTGATCATGGAAAGGTATGACTTTTTATGTTCCTTGTACAACTGAAGGGCAAAGCAAGTTAGTTAATAATAGCGATACTGATCACCCTCATGACCTACTCAGCTCATGTGAACCTCGAGCCTCTCTTCGAAGGACTCTGTGGAAGGTGTCCTTAATATTGCATCTGGTTAATATCTCCACAATCTACTGATTTTAGCTACAAAAATATCCGTACAGGTCTTCTGTGTCAACTTGTATTTCCAAAATGAATACACTTTTAAGTTTAGTATTTAAACTTCGTAGTGGTCTGTTATGTTTAGAGGGATCATGAGCGACATGAATCGTAGTGATTATTCCCCCTGAATCCTTCTGTACTGCACAGACTGCAAACTTAAAGCTTCTATGCGAGCTAGGTGCAGTTCATTTTTTTGGTTCGCATACATTTTTGATTACCCTTTTTTGAGCACATTACAAGAGGATGATAGGTTAATGATAAATGATCCAAGAACCGTTTTGCAAATGAGGTCCTAAATAAACAACAAGAAAGGTTTTAAATTATCCCGAAGTTAGTCTATAAAGAAAATCCAAGATAGTATTCAATTTTGCTGCAGAATCCCAATGGGAAGAAGTAGGTATTTTTGTAGTAAAAAGTGTGGTACTTGAGTCATCCCGAAAGTACGTGACCGATACAGTTCCACTACTATTCACCATTATCACCCTTCATTTGCTGCTACTGAAAGGACAGTTTCTATTGGTATAGTCACATAACCTATTTAAGTTTTTGTAATGAAACAAAATATCATTTAGATCTAGCGTCTCTCTCAAGTTCTAAAATCATCTCCATATAATAGGTTCTAAGGGCCTGTAGTGATAGGCAAATCTTTAAACAATGGGAGCATAATCCTTAGGATTTCACTCTGTGGTACTTCACTCGTCATTGAAAACTAGTTAGATATGGCAAAGCAAACTCTGACAGCTAACGATCTCCCCTATAAGTAATCTGAAAGTCACTAAGCACCCGATAGTTGCTGCTAATCCCGGTTTCAGGTGAGCGATTCGATAATTAACTTTATTGAATATCTCCATAAAAATTAGTAAGGTCATGTGCATAGGTTGAATGTACTCCAATGAGATGGTACATCTATTCTAAACAGTTAACAAGCCTGTATCACGTGATCTATGTAAGAGAATTCCATGTTGTGGTTAAAAAACTTTACAGTTATTGAATAGATAGTTGCTTATGGGTTCGTGAATTCTTCCATGACTTACTCCGAAGGCTAAGAAATTAGTTCACAATTGGGAGTTCCTATCTTGCTGTTTACGTCACAGTCAAATAAGAATACTAGTTCTCATTCAATCGTTTTATTAGCATCACCTGCTTTTTGTCAATTATTATTCCGAAACAAACTATATTTAAGGTGTTCAGTTAATAAGGTTGGTCACTACTTTTGTAATGGACGGCCTATATAGACGATACACACAACACCCCACGTGTGGTGTTGACTTCTTAATGATCACAGTTTCACCTTAGTTTGTTTAACAATATAAAGCATCCTATCCCAAACTTTTGGGAATTTCACATCCTGTTTTAATCTAGCCCATGTTACAAAAACTAATATGACAGATCCATAATTAATTAATTCCAAAGTTTTTGAGACATATTACTAATGCGTATATCTTTATTTTTCCAATATATGGTTTTTCTTATGTTCGTACCCCTTTAGAAATGTTCTAAATTATTTTCAAAGCGAAGAGTGTAATCTTTGAAGAATGAGAACTTTCACCATTAAATAATCTATGGCTACTCCACTAGTGCATCCATTTCGTTTTTATATATCGAGACTTTTCTAGGTCGTGAAATTCATCACACCAATGTTATATTTTCCCGGAAAACGACGACTCATGGGTCGTACATCAATTTAGGCCCCCGCTCATTTGTACCCTTACCATAGCAAGGATCAGTAAAGAATTCTTCAAATTACGTAAACACCTTAAAACTTTGCGTTTGCGATTCCTTAGTCTGGATAGTTAACCACAAATGAAAACTATTTGTTCTTCTCTTTTGAAGATTTATGCTAATCCCGAACTTCAGCTAGCTGTGTTACAAATTCGAGCCCCTCCTTCACCGGTTCCAAACGAAAGCATGTCAAGGAGCTTGTGACCTTCCTGAAATCTATGAAGTTTAAAACTGTGGTTTTACTTTCAAGTAGCTTTGCGACTATTCTTAAAGTAAGTTGACTATTTTCTTTCTAAATCCTATCAGTTACTGAACATTCTAGACAGTTGGTGTTTACTCGTATTTAAAAACGTAAGCTAGAAACTTATTAAGGTAGCGTGATATGGTTTTCCTCGTGTTTTCGAGTAAGTGACTAGTATATTAAACCAACTGTTATGTACTTTGACCCAACAGTCTTTATTTGAGCATTTCAATCACACACTAGCCCCGTACACGTAGTCAGGCATTTGCAACATGAAGCTTAATACATCCCAAAAATTGACGCTATCCCTGAAGACAGTTTTTATGGGTACATGCTAAACTACACTATGATATCTGCAAACTTCAGGTTAATAAGGTTTCTCAAAATCTAGTGAATTGCCATACATTCGAAGGAAGAAAGTGTTGTTTCTGAGAACATTTTGAGCACAAAATCTGATAATATTACCGAACATGAACATCGCTGATAGTTACTTAGTACAATCATTTCATGTGAACATTCGTCGTAACTTCCAATTCGAATAATGGTATTCACATAAAGGGCTTTTGATAACTTATAGTGTTCTTTTTATGCTCCTTTCAACAACAGTCTCTATTACAACCTCAGCCTGCAGGTTCAAGTGTCATTTTTACACGTATGATTACAATTAGATGTCGATATTCCTTTCTGCACACCACAACTTGAGGGGAAAACAGCCAGTATGATACATCAATTTTAAGACATGTTTGGTCTTCCCGGTTTCCTGTTCACAAATTCTTAAGCGTGACAGCAGTAAAAGTCGACATATGGTGGTTCTTCAACCGAAGGGTAAATTATCTGGTTTTTCCACATCAATGTGTGTCTACGATATCAACTGCTATATTGAGCGTACAGTCACACAACTAAGTCGAGTCAGTGAACACCTTTCGGGTTAATTAAAGAGTTTGATCAAGATAACGTACATCTTCCTGTTACAGTAGGTCGATAGCAGTCATGTAGTAGATAAAAACAAATCATTTAAAGTAGTTAATCGTATATCCACTACCTTTCCTTATTAGATTTGATCTTGTCTCTTACACTTGACAGAAGCTACGGGGATCCGAACTAACAACCTGTGTATTTATGAAGACTTTTCCATGCCCTTATCTCTTCCCTCACCTTTTAAATGAACACTTCATTGTCTAATTATCTAAACTGCGTAATTTTATAGTTAGTAGTAAATACTATTTTAATATCATTGACCTACTTCCTACTATAGAACACTGACTGAACCCTTTCCTATTCGTATCACAAATAGTACACCAGTTACCACAAACAATTTGTACTTTTTACCTACTGTTTATTTTCCTAATCCATTCCAATGTTATCGCTGACTCATAAACTGCCTTGATTAGTTTGTGAATTTCATATGTCCATACAAATATTCTTATACATTATATTGAAGCCCGACAATTAAAAGGAATATTGCTCGCTTATATACATTCTAATTCGCAATACAATAATTTCTACTATATTTTTAGTCACACAAAATTAAGCAACAGACATGTGATGAATAGGATAAGAAGGGCACACACATATACTATACACTCATATAAAAGCAGTCAAGATTGACAAGGAATAATTATCAAGGTCAAAATGTGACCCAAGTAGAATGAGTAGATTGGCCTGTCCTAAAGCTAGAATAAGGTATATGGGCTTAAAATAAAAACCGGCACTACAATTTTAATGATAAAAATTGCTATCTTGAAGAGTTTACTTCTCTGTAGTTATCTGATAACAACACGCTCAACCAAAATAATTAATAAACTGTGGGCACCATCCTTCCAGAAAACTGGGACTACTCCATCTCAGCGCGTCTCTTCCCCTTGCTTCAGTTACTTTTAGCTTCAATAAGAATTATTTTTATAAAATGACTATCTGTAATCCTTTTTTACAACAGATTTAACACAATCACCCATAATTCTATAGTCTTGTATGCCACTCATCTATTTCACTTCTCCCGTTCGTTTTACAGGATGAGGAGCTAAACTCAGCACCACTGCAGTATGCTTTGTCGTCGTCGTTCTGCGCTTCTGATCGTAAACGCTTTGATGAACTGGATTGGTATCCCCTTAAGAAGTACAGTGACCACCTAGATTGTCAACTATCTGTTGTTTATTATTTACCTGGGTGTGGAATTGCAAGTTATTTATTTGAAGAATTACTCAAACATGAAGAGATATCTGCTTGTCTGTTAAATCTTTTTACATCTGAAGGCGATAACAGTGGCGATGCACTTTATGTTGTGCAGCATTTGAATAACTGGTTACAATTCAAAGCACAACACGGAGTTAAAGACATAAGTTTTCAATGGTCTCTCCCCCCTTCTTGGAGCTATTTGTTTGGAACTGATCCTGTTGATGAATTGTATTAGACTTTTATCAAATATTTACAAAAGATTAGTTTTCTGGCATTTAAGGTTTTCCGACGAATGAAACTTTTCGCTAGGAATTTTTATGAATTCATGAGTTCATAGATTTAAGTTGTTCATCAAATGAAAAAGCTAAGCAACGACGGTAAATATGCTAAGAATTCGGATCTATAATTTCGAAGTTCAGAATTATTATGAAGGCCTAATTTCATTCACTAACACTCAGTATACAGGTTTATTTGTATTTAGTAACAAGTACAACTTGTGTGTGACTTTTATAATCAGTTTTACCTTCTCAATTACTTAGAAAATTTATTGTACATAACCTTAGTTTTCCTGCAGCAGGATGATTCGGAAAACATGGTGATATTGTTGTTTAATTTTGTAACGTTCATAGATTATAGGCATCAACGAGTGACGTGTTCGTTTGAATAAACAGAGAGAAGTCTATTTTGCGGTTCCACTAATTTAAGCATTCTTGAATCAGAGTATCATTATCTATCAAGAAAATACGTGTTGAAAATTCCCATTTTGCCGTTTGGTAAATAAAAAAGAAACGAATTGAGCGAAATTTCTTTTTAATTAGTTTTTCATCATGGCTCTACACTAATATATATATATGATTTACAATAATGATATAATACTCATCGAGTGGAGACGTCATGTAATAATTACATAATGACATTAAAATTAACATTGAGTAATTGGGAGAAAGAGGACTATTAATATTCAAAGTAATTATTAAATCAAGAAGTTGCTACGTTTCGTAATATATGAAAAGAGAAGGAACAGAATTTTATAATGGATGGTCAATAGAATAGTAGTTACGTAAGAATCAAAAGATGAATGTTGAGGAAATAAAGTTCGAAAACAACAAAAACAAGATTTTCCAGTTTTTCAAAGGAAATATCCGCTTAAAAGCACATTTAGCCATTGACCAATTTATTATCGCTATATAGACGATACTTTCATAGTATTAGAAAAAGAACATGATAAGGACAACCTACTTAATATATTTAATAACGTTCACCAATCATTTAATTTTACATCAGAAGATGAACAGAACAATAGCATATCATGTTCAACTAACTGGAAGAGCAGACGGAACTTTAAGATGAGCGGTATACAGAAAGTCTGCAACAGGACAATACACTCATTTCTACAGTGCAGTTCTATCAGATACAGAAGGAACTAAATAAAGTTCATGACTCATCGTGCCAGAATGATTTGCTCGGAAGACACCATTGAAGATGAATTGGTTAATATTCGAAACTTAGTACGAATGGGTAACCTAGGAAATCCATCGACAAACACATGATGGAGATGAAAACAAGAACAAAGATGGCTACCGTCCCTAAGAAAGTACTGTTCATAAATGACACCACTAAAGAAATCGTGACTCAGAAACTAAGAAGAGCTGTACAGAAAACACTTAATGCAGCCAGATTAAATGTTATCTTCTACAACCACCTCAAAATAAGAACGGCCAATAAAGACAGACTGCCTGAATTCGCCAAATCCATGTGCATCTATCGGTCCAACTGCTCCTATGGAGCCAGTTATATAGGACGTACAATTCGGCAAGTTCGTTATCGTATTACAGGACGTCATCCGCCGTGATTAAACAAATGACAGGTAAAAGTGATTCTCCCTCACTTGGTCGACACAGGTCATCAAGTTGAATTGAATAGAGCTTTTAAGGTTAACTACAATATCCCATCAAATTTGCTGCATGGTTTACGAGTGCGCCTTTTCACATTGCGGAAGCCATCGAAATCCATGTTCACAAACCTGACCTTTGCATTCAAAAGAGATTTGTACAACCAATTTTGCTGCCCTGGCCATCGGTATAAGATTTCCTTAAGCAGAACAATTTTTCATAAATCTTCCACTCGTTTTTTCTCTTTGAAATTTGTTTTTGTTAATTTGAACTTTATATTTCCTCAACATTCATCTTTTGATTCTTCCGTAACTACTATTCTATTGACCATCCATTATAAAATTCTGTTCCTTCTCTTTTCATATATTACGAAACGTAGCAACTTCTTGATTTAATAATTACTTTGAATATTAATAGTCCTCTTTCTCCCAATTACTCAATGTTAATTTTAATGTCATTATGTAATTATTACATGACGTCTCCACTCGATGAGTATTATATCATTATTGTAAATCATATATATATATATTAGTGTAGAGCCATGATGAAAAACTAATTAAAAAGAAATTTCGCTCAATTCGTTTCTTCTTTGAGTACATGTTACCGTACTATTTTTTACTCAAAATTATCGCTATAAATGATCACTTAGAATTATATGATTGTATACAGTCTAAACTTACTTAATCATTAAACACGAATATTGACCCAAGTGGGCACCAAAATAAATGTGCAACACATATGAAAGAATGAATTTATGAAGGAAGTATGGTCAAATAAATTGAAGGAAACTAGAATTATATTTTAAATCATCAGCAGAGAAGGGTTGATAAGTTCATTAATTTTAACAATACTATCTGTATTGAAAGTCAAATACTTTCTACAGTCTCGTTAGACAGCTCCACGTTATACAGTTGTATCACCATTTACTATACGGATCGTTGGATTGAAATTAGAACATGCGTTCATCTCCCAGTAGATCCAAAATTTGAACTCAGGTTTTACCAGCCGATCAGTGTGAGCAGGCTTCACAGATTGATTGGCCTAGCTTTTGCATACACCTGTATATTAACGGGTTACATTCTACGACTAACTGAAATAAATTCAATCGAACACACCGCGACTATATGGTTTACCTAAAGTTCACAAGACAGGTCTTCCTCTTCGCCCAGTTTTAGATATGTATAATTCGCCTTATCATAAAACTGCAAAGTGGCTAGTTCGTATCCTAAACCCCTTACACAAATTAGTCGTCAATAGAAGCGTGAAAGACGTCTTCGATTTCATATCTAAAGTGGAACATATAAATTTAAATGGGAAACGAATGATATCTTTAGATGTTGCTTCCCTGTTCACCAATGTGCCGTTAACAGAGACTATCGATTTTGTGTGCCAACAACTGCAGGAAAAACAAATCAATATTGGAATTCCTGGGGTTAGTCTTAAAGAATTACTTTTAAAATGCACAATGAATGTCCATTTTGTCTTTAATAACACATATTATAGACAAATTGATGGTATAGCGATGGGTTCGCCACTAGGTCCCATCCTTGCGGATTTTTTTCTGGCGAAACTAGAAAACGGACCTCTCAAGGAGGTTATCAATAAACTGGATTTCTACTGTCGTTACGTTGATGACACCTTCATCATTGCCGATAAAAACCTTAGAAAAGAACAACTACTGGAACTATTTAATAACAAACATCCTGCTATTAAATTTACATGTGAGGAGGAAATAGATAACAAACTAAATTTTCTGGACGTTTTGTTAAGTAGAAAAGAAGATGGTTCTATCAGCAGGGGTGTGTATAGGAAAAGTTCTTCGCCTGGCCAATACACACATTTTTTAAGCTTTGTGCCTCTTCATTATAAGAGAAACTTAGTCAAATGCCTTGCAAATAGAGCTCTTAAGATATGCTCAGTCGACACTATCGATAGAGAATTACAACACATTCATAATATTTTGATTGAACTAGGATATCCACTGGGTTTCCTGAAGAAACACTTGCGCGTAAAAAACAGGAAAATAGTGACCCTGACGGCTAATAAGAAACCACTTTTCTTGAAACTGCAATTCAATGGTGATGTGGCTAGCGATGTATTACGAGATAGATTGACTAAATCAGTAAAGAGAACGTTTAATGCTGCCAACCTCTGCCTATCGTATTCGACCCGATCGATGGTGATTCCGCAATTGAAGGATAAGTTACCTGGTTATGCCACTTCTATGTGTATCTACGAATTCAGCTGCTCCTGTGGAGAAAGCTATATCGGGCGCACTACCAGGCAACTGAACCAACGAGTTAGTGAACACCTCCCTTCGTGGTTAGGAAAAGGCTATGTCAAAACAATACGCAGCTCGGTTCTATCACACTTGATCGATAGCGGTCATATAGTGGACAGAAACAAGTCGTTCAAAGTTATTTATCGGATTCCCACTAGTTTTCCTTATGGTGTTCGATCTCGTCTCTTACACATAGCAGAAGCTATAGGAATCCGAGCCAACAAGCCAAGTCTTTGTGTCCAGAAGAAATTTGTAACTCCCTTATCTCTCCCTTGGCCTTAAGTAATAAATGAATTTATTTATTTATTTATTTATTCCTTTTCTAACTTTCTCTTCGTTTATTATTTTTCTTCACACCCTCCTACCATTTTATTTTCTCTCAACAGACCTGGTTGAACTCCACTGGTAACGGCTTCTCACTAGAACTTCGGGAGTTTTTCCTGAAGTCAGTCACTAGTGAGCAGTTGATTATTATTATTATTATTAGAATGGGTTTTGTGGAGATTTTAGAAATTTCACAGATTGAAATCATGAGTCAGTTGAAGCTAGACCACCATTGAAAACCTGGAAGCACTGGACGGCCGTTTCGTCCTAGTATGGGACTCCTCAGCAGTGCGCATCCACGATCCCGCACCACGCGGGGCTCGAACCCAGGACCTACTGGCTTCGCGCGCGAGCACTTAACCATTAGACCACTGAGCCGGCATCCAACGGTGTTAATGTCTAGCTTCAACCAATCCACGAAGTTGCGCCACCGTACACCATTGTCTTCAGTGAGTTACTATCTCACAACAGACCTGGTTGCTTATCAAAAACTAATGCACCTGTTGTCACACCATCAATTTGTAATTTTCACATTTTACTTATTATGTAATCTTTTCCATTGTTATCACTGACTTATAAACTACCGTGATTGGTTTAATAATTTCGTATATGCATATAAATATTACTGTATATTAGAGTAAAGCATGATGAGGATCTAATCGAAAACAATATTGTTCGCTTATATATATTGTTCTAAATTATATGATTGTATACAGTCTAAACTTACTTAATCATTAA